GCTCTTGACATATCATATTTCATACATTTGATTCAAGCAGATTATGAACTCCCATTTTTACCCCGTATACATATTGCAGATTCACATCGGTTCCACATCCACTTTTTTACATATTGCCATACTAGTGTCTGTTGTATTCTGCTGCCCTTCCTATCCTCTACTATCCCCCCTCCCCTCCCCTCCCTTCCCCTCTCATCTTCTCTCTCTACCCCATCTACTGTAATTCATTTCTCTCTCTTGTTTTTTTCCCCTTTCCCCTCACTTCCTCTTATATGTAATTTTGTATAACAATGAGGGTCTCCTTCCTTTACCATGCAATTTCCCTTCTATCTCTCTTTCCCTCCCCCCTCTCTACCCTGTTTAATGGTGATCTTCTTCTCATGCTCTTCCTCCCTATTATGTTCTTAGTTGCTCTCCTTATATCAAAGATGACATTTGGCATTTGTTTTTTAGGGATTGGCTAGCTTCACTTAGCATAATCTGCTCTAGTGCCATCCATTTCCCTGCAAATTCCATGATTTTGTCATTTTTTAGTGCACAGTAATACTCCATTGTGTATAAATGCCACATTTTTTTATCCATTCATCTATTGAAGGGCATCTAGGTTGGTTCCACAGTCTAGCTATTGTGAATTGTGCTGCTATGAACATGGAGCTTGATATCAAATCAGAGACTCTGCATCTGATAGAAGAAAAAGTTGGCTCCGATCTACATATTGTGGGGTCGGGCTCCAAATTCCTTAATAGGACACCCATAGCACAAGAGTTAATAACAAGAATCAACAAATGGGACTTACTTAAACTAAAAAGTTTTTTTCTCAGCAAGAGAAACAATAAGAGAGGTAAATAGGGAGCCTACATCCTGGGAACAAATTTTTACTCTCCACACTTCAGATAGAGCCCTAATATCCAGAGTATACAAAGAACTCAAAAAATTAAACAATAAGATAACAAATAACCCAATCGACAAATGGGCCAAGGACCTGAACAGACAGGTTTCTCAGAGGAGGACATACAATCAATCAACAAGTACATGAAAAAATGCTCACCATCTCTAGCAGTCAGAGAAATGCAAATTAAAACCACCCTAAGATACCATCTCACTCCAGTAAGATTGGCAGCCATTAGGAAGTCAAACAACAAGTGCTGGCGAGGATGTGGGGAAAAGGGTACACTTGTACATTGCTGGTGGTACTGCAAATTGGTGCAGCCAATTTGAAAAGCAGTATGGAGATTCCTGGGAAAGCTGGGAATGGAACCACCATTTGACCCAGCTATTGCCCTTCTCGGACTATTCCCTGAAGACCTCAAAAGAGCATACTATAGGAATGATATGTTTTTATCCTATCCTTTTACCTTTTATCTGTGGATGTCTTTGCCTATGAGGTGAGTCTCTTGGAGACAGTGCATTATTGGGTCTTGGTTTTTTAATCCAATTTTCCAGTCTATGTCTTTTGATTGATGAGTTTAGGCCATTTACATTCAATGTTACTATTGAGAAATGATTTTTATTCCCTGTCATTTTATTTCTGTTTTTTAATTTAAATTAGTTTCTCCTTTGATTGCCTATTATTCTAGTATAGTTTCTCCCTTTGCTGGTTTTCACTTTTATTTTTCATTTCTTCTTCATAAAACATTTGAGTATGTTTTGTAGTGTAGACTTTCTAGTCATGTATTCTTTTTAACTTTTGCTTATCATGGAAGGTTTTTATTTCATCATCAATTCTGAAGCTTGATTTTTCTAGGTATAGTATTTTTGGTTGGCATCCATTTTCTTTCAGAGATCAGTATATATTATCTCAAGACCTCTTAGCTTTGAGGATTTGGGCTGAGAAATCAGCTGAGATCCAGATTGGTTTGCCTCTAATAGTGACTTGTTGGTTTTCTCTGGAAGCCTCTATATTTTAGGCTTGAATTGTTATCGTTATATTTTATAAGGTAAAAATATTTAAAGCAGGTATGAAAGATAAGTCAGTTATACGAGATTCATTTCTAATAGTGAAATGAGATATTTATAGTGAGATTTTCAATATGAGTATGAAATATATTATGAATACATGAACAAACCCTGTCATTGATGGACAAAATCTGACTTTTTTTTTCCTATTGAAAAATGTATAATAACATACACTACCAAATATTTGTCTTTGATTGTTAATTGATATTTCCATTCACATTTCATGAATCATTTTAATGTCTGAGATTTTAAATAAATAATCCAAAATAAAGAACACCTCAACTTATCATAAATTTAGGTTTAACATATAATTTATCATATTAGATGTTGCCAAGATTTTATTAGATTTTTCTCAGAATCTGGAAACTATGTAAATGGAAAGGAATGGATTCTTTCACATAACAATCTAGCTTATAGAAGCATTCTGGAATTAATTGGTGTGGGAGAAAAATCCCCCAATATCTTTGGGAATACAAATAGAAAGATAAATAATGTTAACTCTACTTACTGTTTTCTGCATATAAAGTAACAACAGATCCAAAACACTTAGCAGTGTTGAGAATGAAATATTTGATAATTATTTCACCTCCTATTCATACGAATTACTTTTTTAACATGTCATTGCACAGTTTCCTAAGAACAGTTCTTAAAAGCTCTCATCCCCACTGTAGCACAGCCCTGGCATTTAAATCAGAAGTGTCCAATTCATGATTCAACCATGGAATTCAGTAACTACTGTACCATGAGCAAGCCTTTTTCTCAAGCCTCATTCCCTCATGTACTCTGAGGGTGAAAATACTTATTCTATAGGGTGGCTGAGAGGTTGAATGAAACAATATAAAATAATCATAAAAATCAAAGGGGAAAGGTACCATTGGGTGTCCAGGGGAAGTGCTTGGGCATGACATTGACTAAATTGCAGTGTTATATTGTATATTACATGAATGTATGAACATGTAACAACAAATCTCATAAGTATGTACAACTATAATGCAACAATAAAGTGGGGGGAAATGAAAAAAAATATACATATGAGCAAAACAAATATAAAAGACTTCTTATAAACTTACCTCTCTCTTTAGGAAAGATACAAGCTTACACAGAGCTACCAAGTTAATTTCGAAAATATGTCCTAAATCATTAATTATGTGAGATTAGTTAAGCCATGAGCCCTCTTAATAAAACTATTTTACCAAATCTGGCAGTTAAACAAAAGGATCCAAGTAACAACTGAAAGTAGACCTGGTTATTTTACAAGTTATTTTACTTTCTTTACAAGTAAAGAAAGGCAACCAATACAAAGGAAATCAGCAATGTCCTAGAATATGCCGGAGCATCGTTGAACACCATATTCTCCAGAAATCACAGATGCTCTAGGGAGTACTTAGAGCCCAAACTGTGATTTCTCTGCCCGCCCTTCAATTGATGTGTACTCCAAGCATATTTTCTGTGTAGCTGGACACTTTATTACAGACAGAAGGATACCACTCAGTGAGGCCCGTGTTTATGGCCTAACTTTTTTAAAGAGGAAGTTGGAAAACTTCCCAGACACTGCATCTGCCCCTAGCCTGTGCACCTCAGAGTATGAGGCCAGCCAGAGAGACTTGAAGACTACTAAATTTATTAGCGGTAGACGGGCCACTCTATCTTTCACTGCAGCAACAGTAGGTGATCCCATCAAAAATCTGTCTGCTGGCTAGCCTGCAATTCCAAGCTGACATCTATGTAGAGTAGAAACTGCTGACTAGAAACATATGCTATTTCCTTGAAGAAACATATCATGAACTAAATGTTCAACCAGGGAGTTACTTTCTACTTCCATCAGAGAAAAGGGTTTCATTATTATCTATGCATAACTTTTTATATACCTACTTTTTTTCTTTTTGCCATTTAAGAACAGTAAGCAGAAGTAGAGCATTTCAGGAGAATTCAATAGTTCAATTACTAATACTTAGTGATGATTTTGATATAACTTGGAAAACAGTTAAGCATGAATTAATCTCATTATATTTCAGCTATAATATAATCATGATCCATTACAAATGTACCTTAATAGCCAGCCTCATGGTAAAACAAACTGCTTGCCAATATTTTCCATAAAATAATAGAAAAGACAAAAATCAAATACAAATTTAAAAAGTAAACTATGTATCATTAATAGTTATAGTTTTCTGGAATTACTCTAGAATAGTTCTGTTAGGATCTGTAATTCACAGAGGCCATAGGGCTTCCAGAATATTATAGTACTAGTAAGACCAGAAGTAGGATAAGGCAACTGAGGCAGGGTCACACAGGTACAGAGCCCAATCCTGGCTTTATTTAAAATTTTGTTTAGATTTTCTTGTGGATTTTTTTACATTGGTTTTCATTTTTTTAAAATGTTTCATTAAAATATTATTTATATTAGTCCAGGGTGTTTTAATGCCTTAAAATTTTGTGCCCGAGCCAAGAGCCTCCCTTGCTTTACCATAGTCCTGGTCCAGAGAAGATTCTTTTCCCCGAAATTAGTTTTCCTACAATGTGCTCCGCAAAACATGGGATATTAATAGTTGTTTCATTAAAAATAGAGAGGAAATGAGAAATGGAAAAACTGCATCAAATATATGTCAGAATGTTTACCCAGATACAGTTAACTGTTCCTTATCTTTCTTTTTAGACAGCTTTAATGACCTGATATACACTGAGAAGCTCACATAGCATGGGGCATTTCTCCAACCTATTCACCCCCAAGGTTCAGTAAATGATACTCCGAGAAACACATTTTTGTCTTAATAATGTTTTAGAGTCATCTCCAGTACATATTTGGTCCAATAAGGCTGCTTCTCCTCAGCTTTTATCTTTCTTTAACTCACCTCACATTTTGCCCCCCCAAATACTAAAAATATGGACATGTTGACACAATCAGTGTATGGTTATAAGAAGACTGAATTGGTATTTCTATTTTTACGATAGTATAGTTAAAATTCATTGTAAAGGGATATGAAAATAATGGAAAATAGCAAAACAATAGAAAACATGCTTGGCACTTCTTAAATAAAGCAGTGTCAAACACTCTTACCAGTAAAGTCTGTACCGACCGGGTGAGTGGTGCTGGGGAATTTACAATATCCATTTCCTGTGAAACGGATTCCTTTCATCATGGTGGCCATGGGAGCTGGTAGGGATGACTCTCTCCTTTCCAGCTGGTATAGAGGAGAGGGACCATTTACTTCTTCAGGTAGAAACCACCTCACGTGAATCGTAGTGCCATTAATTCCTTTAACCACAGGAGGCCTCAGGAGGGCAGGTGCTAAATATCAGAAAATTTGTGTTACATTCAAGAATCTGGTTTCTATCTCTAGACACAAATATTCACACATATGTACAGTGCATGCATTTGTGTACATCACACTCAAAATCCAGTTGTGGTCACAAGTATCTACATGGTTCTAAGAACTGACAATACAGCATGGTTTATATCCAGTGTGACTAAACACAACTTAAATGACTAAAAATTCTTAATCAAAAACTTCCAAGATTGATTTTTCTTGAAAGTAATTCTCAATTTTTTTCTAAATAAATAATAGATTATAGTAGCCACTGCTCATGTCCCATCTAGAGTCCATTTAGCATGCATGTATTCCGTTGCCTTAGCTTTTGCACCTTTTAGCCTTCAATGGCTCATAGACTGACCCCAGCTTTTCAGAATTCCCTTTGGCTGAGTGGGAGCTGCCTTACCTAGGAGCTACAGAATTCCCCAGTGAGGCCTGCAGCCAAAGGCTAGTTCTGATCACAAAAGACAGAGTCCCTTGATTTAACATTTCATCAACTTGGTGCTACAATTCATAGAGGTGCTATAGCTATTCAATGTGCTATGTGAGCATGTGTTTGAGATGGACTATTGGGGAAATAAGAGTAGGGTCTGAGAAGAATTGGGCAGGGTGAACTGTCACTAATTTGTGCAAAACAATTGGGTAACAGAGGAAGAGTGAACCTAGGATTCCACATCTCTGAGATCATTTTTTTGTTGTTGTTATTGTTGTTTTTTAAGGAGTCAGAAAGTAATTTTTTAAGACTTTAATTTTTGGAGTAGTTGTACATTCACAGCAAAATTGAGAGGAAATGACAGAGTGTTATGGCATATCTCATGCCCCTGCACAGCCTCTCTCATTACCAGTATCTCTCACCAGAGTGGTTTATTACAACTGATGAGCCTCCATAGGCACATCATTATCACACAAATTCCATCCTTTACCTTAAGATTCACTCTTGGTTTAGTAAATTCTAAGGGCTTGAACAAAAGTATAATGACCTGTATCCATTCTTATAGTATCCTACAGTGTTTTTACTGCCCCAAAATCCCTCTGTGCCTGCCATTCATGCTCCATCACTAACCCCTATCAACCATTCATCACTTTACTCTCTTAAATATTTATTTGCTTATTTTGCCTTTTCCAAAAGGTTACATATTGGGATCACACAGTATGTAGTCTTTTTAAGTGACTTCTTTCATTAATATGCATGTAAGATTTTCTTCATGATTGATAACCCAAATTAATAATATTTACAATACTCCATTGTTTGTATATACAGTTTATTTATTTATCTACTAAAAAAATATCTTGAGTCCAAAGTTTCAACATTCATAAAACTGCTATAAACATGCATTTGCAACTTTTTGTGTAGATGCAATATTTCAACATCTTTGGGGAAATTCCAAACAAGCAGAATGGCTGGATCATATGGTAAGACTATGTTTAGTTGTGGCAGAAACTGTCAAGCTGTCTTCCAAAGTTCCATTCTGCATTCCCACAAACAATAAATGAGAGTTCCTGTTTCCCCACATCCTCAGAAGCCCTTGGTCTTGTCAGTGTTCCAGATTTTGACCATTGAAAGGAATGTGCTCTGCTGCCTCCTTGTTTCAATTTTCACTTTCCTCAAAACATATGATGTGGAGCATCTTGTCATACACTTATTTGCCCAATCTATATCTTCTTCGGTCAGAAAGCCATTTCACATACAATTTTCTGATTTTTGTCAAGCTTAGTAGTGATATAAATCAAAACAAACAAACAAGTAGAAAACCACTCTGAAAACCAAATAGAGCATTTGTACGTCAGCAGTTGACAAACTCTGGTCCAGGCACAACAGACTCTGGGCAGCCTCAAGTCCTGAAGCAGTCAGGAGCACTGCTGTCCCTGAAGCAACAGTGCCTGGTCATCAGCAGTGACCTCAGACATGGAGCAGCAAGTTCCCAGTGCCCTCAAATACTTTGGGGCCTGGCATGCTTCAAGATCCTGGGACACTGGCAATTCTTGGGAGTTCCAAAGAAATTCTAAGAGAAACAGAGATTAAGATTTTCTCTACAAAGGGAATAAGAGTATCACCTGAGCCACTGAAAATTGTGGCTAATGTGCTTGTGTTTTGATTTTTTTGTTTCTTTGAACAGTTGAGTTAGTGGGCTGAGATTTTTTCTTATGCTAAGTGTGTTGGCTGGATTTGATAGGTGAAAGTGAAGAGCAAGCCTACTTAAAAATAACACCTAAAAAGGCTGTGAACTTTTAATTTAGACTTGTGTTAACATAGCCTTATTGACACTGAGGCATGGCCTGTTTCAATAAACATAAATCAAAATGATATAAATATAAGAACCCTGCAATCATGAAAGGAAACCTACCTTAAAACAGTTTAAATTATTATGCATTACCTTTTAGACTCTGGCCAGCTTTCTAAAAGAGAAATAATTACTTGTGATTCTATTTTAACTTTTAGTCAAGAAGCAGAGGCACTGAAGAAAAAGTTCATTAACTTAGAAAGATAATTAACAATCCTGTTCATCTTCTGCCTCTAAAACCCATGTGATATTTTTATATATGTATAAATCTATAAATTATATGCATGATTTCTCCTAGTATTCTGTGCCAAAAAGCAGCTAAATAGTGGGTTCTCAAAGATTTCATTCTGCAGGCTGTCATCCCACTTCAAAATAATCCAAAACAAAATAAAAAGATAAACCATCCAGAAACTCCTTCTCCCGCTAAGATTGTCATCAGAGTTTGGAATTCCACCAATGTATTAAAATTTCATCAGGCCACTCTGTTGCATCTTGTGCCCATTACCTCATTGAATTTTCAGAGCAAGCCTATAAATTAGATGTTATTTTTATTTCCATGTTATAGGAGAGAAAACTGAGGGTCAGATTAACTTGCTTAAATGGACACAGCTGAGAAGGGACAGAGGCAGAACTCAGCCTGCAGCCTTCTGTTTTCAAAGCCCTAGACTTAAGCACTCTGCTTTATTGCTACCTTGGTTATGAGCTTAACCAAAGAAAGAGGGTTACCCAAGATTTCTCAGTCCTGGGCTCAAAGATGCAAGTGAAGAAACAACTACATAATTTATTTTTAATTTTTAACTTTTTAGAAACACAAAAAATGATATTTTGAGTTCTTCTATTTTCTGGACTCCAGAAATTGAATAATGTTCTGGGACTAGGGTGCTGACCTTTTCAATTTGAAAAATACCATCTAGCCCAATAGAATTTTCCCTAATACTGAAAACATTCTAGATTAATTTCATTTGAACTGAATATTTAAAGGAAGCATGAATGGGCCTTCTGCACTTTTTAATGATGGAAGAGTTTCGTTGTTTGAAAAGAGCACTCTCGTCCTCAAGGTGACCCTTGTTTGACATTCAATACAACTTTACTCTAACTGAATGAGGACAGCAATGAAGTTCTGAACCACCATACTATTCAGAATTCTGTAGCATAACCCATAATCACTTCTTATCAGAAATATAAATTGAGAGTCAAAAATCTAAAGGGATTCCAGCAACTTTGTAGTTGCTTTTTAAAAGACAACCTCCTAAAAGTGAGAGCATGCACTTGCTTTTATTTTGGCAAAAAGATTATAATCAATAAAGGCACTCTTTCACTGACAGTCCACAAATTAATGTCAACTATTCAAAGTCTAGTAAAGTTGTGGAGCACTTCCTTCGATTCCCAGGGAAATAGTCTCACCAAGCAATTACACTGTTCTTAGGAAGTCAACTCTTGAGTTGAACTAGACATATTTTATCCTTTTCCTGACTTAAGAAAATTTTTTTTAAAGTCCAGCTGGTGTATTGTACAGTTTCACATGGAGTAGTCAACCAGCCTGTTTGAAAGGGTGAGCGCCCTGCTGAGTCATTCTTTTCTCTAAGACCAGAAGGAGGAATTAAGTGAAGTTGTCAATCAGTTAAACTAGACTGGCCTGCTGCCCCCTGCCCAGCCCTACCATCAACATACACACAGAATCACCAAGAGAGACTGAGGTAATGAAGGCTTATTTGTTACATTATAAAAAAGCAAAGGGATTATAGATACAAATAAATGTGGTCTTTAAATGTTTCTTAATTATAAAACAGTAAATTAAGAGATAATATTAAATAACAGGAAGGGCTCTGCAGACTTTTAGAATTATATTTCACTTTTAAATTTTCAATGCTGCAAAGATTTCAGAAAAATAACAAAATTATATCTGCCCAAGCTTTCCTATGAACAACATGAGGATAAATTTTGGGCAAAATATTTTGACAATAACTTCTGTTACCACAAAAATGCATGATTATTTTAGTTTTACAAAACAAATTTCAATACGAATACAAGGCAATATTACTACTCATCAATAACACATCTTTCAAATTGCATATTGTGAAAGAAAGCAATTTACCTATATTTAAGATGTATCTGTATTTACTTAGAAAATTCTATTATGAATGTAAAACATAAAATGCATCCTTAATATCTATCATTTCAAAAAATAATATATGATGTTTGCTTTCACTTGGAATGAAATTAAAGTGTTCTTATAATTTTTTTCTCAGTTGCACTGTAATCCAATTTCTAGTCAATCTCTCCTATTTATAAAGATACTTTTATAAAATGTTCTGGTAATCTACTTCTTTATGCAGCATTTATTACTTTATAATCTGATTAATGGCATATTGTAATGAATAAATTTGCACTTGCAAAATTTATGTAGTGTGAGTTTTGAGCATCATAGGATAAAAACTAGGCAGACACTCTTACTGATACACAGGTCTTTGTAATCAAATCTCTACATTTGTTTTCAGGGAAGAATTTGTTGTCTATGAAGACTGTATGACTGTGTCATTCATTATGTTGAAATGTTATCCACTTACTATTATGAAAACAGAATTCTAGAAGTGACTAGCCCTTCCATGTTTCAGGGATACGTAGGAAGCAGATTAACATAACACAACCTTAGGCGCCTGTCTAAAGAAAATAATTTGACTTTCTCTCAAAGATGT